AAAAGTTCGCGTTTGAAGCAGGCGGCGTGTCTTATGCTTAGTGATTATCGCCGCCAAAGGACTTCTACAAATACGCTGACGGGCGGCAGATGCCTTTCCAAACATTAAAAAAGTGTGCCCCGGTCACCTCACTACTCTGTCAAAACGCGAAAGTATAATACTTATTCTTCACGCCGGTGTACTGTGACACCATGGTACTTCCCCGGATGAGCATGCCGACAGCAAAGACTACGTGTTCCTACCGCAATAAAACCCTAATTGAAAAGGCGATTGAACAATAAATTAATGAGCTGAGTTTCTTTCGCCGGTTCTTCTCAGGTCAGTGGCTTTGCTTTCCGAACCGGTGGTAGCGTTTTGACAATCAATAAGAAAGTTTAATGCTTCTATATTGAATAAAGGTATTTGATTTTTGAATGTCCCAAAGACCTGCGAAACGAAGAGTCTTTGTAATGCGTATCATCCTGTTAAAGGAACACTTCCCTCGGCTGTTCTCATCTTGTGCACCGACAAGATTTTGCCGTTACTAATTGTTGGGAAAGTAGCCTAAACTGGATGAAATATTTCGACTTTCTTAGAGCTAACATGGCCGCTCACACTTGCTTAACAATATCCTGTTATTTTTTATCGGGACAAAAACCCAATTTTCTCACCGGCGACGTCTAGATATGCTTCAGATGCGGGGGATCGAACCAATGACCCGCTTTGCCTAGGCCGGCCGATAGCATCAGCGCCATCCGAGCCTGACCGTAGTAAAACGCTGCGATCTATTTCACACAAATGTGTGTTTTTAATTTATTAAAAATATAACATAGGTAATACTAACAGTCGTGTTTCAATTAATATACTCTATCATAGAGTAGACAAATTAAGACTCGACAATTCTCATCTACTCTATCTATTTATCGTTTCGAAAATTAGCCAGTGTAATAAAAAACCCGCGTTCTACTTTCCATAAGTTTGTATGAAAGGCCAGTCAGTGAGCTTTTTCCTGAATTAGCACTTCTATTAAGACCGGTTTTATTATATTATTGTGGCTATAATCGTGTCAACTGTAAGCATCGCGTGATGATAATAAATGTGGTATGTCTGTTTGATGCCAAAATTACGTCGCATAATAAATATCTTCGATTACATAAGTTCAATACATTGTTATCGGTTGTATATTACGCATTTAGTTTCGCTGACAATAACAGAGCCCGAACTGTGTCGATAACTCGTGTTATATCACGCGATAAGTGACAGAATAGCAAAACATCCGGTTTGTAGATTAATTTATTTCGTTATAGAGCAACTCCATCTATCGTTCTTACCCTTGTTTGGAGCATGCGCTGGCAAACTTTCAGCTTTTATAAAATAACGAAGGTCTGGGGTGCACGGGCTCTTAGACTATTAAGCACTAGCCTCGCTTCAACGCCCGCCTTGTTGTGCCAGACTGAAAATAGTAATTAATGCACTGAATCTAAATCTACCTACACACACGGCATAGAACCAACTGCGCACATTCTGATAAACAAGGCCGCAGCTGAAACAAAACAAATACATCCTAATTGTTAAACGAATACATGATACATCGCGTAAAACGATATTGGTATCAACAAAACAAAAACTGTGTGGCTAATTATAATTAATTTCCGAAACTTCACAATCATTATATCATATCCTTCTTTAATGTACAGATTTGCTCTGGGCAATCTGAAACCCGTTGCAAGTACTTGATTTTTTCGATTCACTCGTTCTCGTTCTGTCTCAATCTAAATGACTTCTTCAATTAGAATATGGCTACGATTAAGCGTCGAGAAGCGTAACTGTACTTATGTATTGACGACCCGAATGGCGTTGTGGGTACTGTACCTGCCTCCTGCGCCAGAGGGTGTGGGTTCGATCCCCACTACTGGATAATGGGTGTATATCATAAAGTCTGGGTGTTAATATATGTATAATATGTATTTATTTACAAAAGAATAGTATGTTTAAGTATGTTTATCAGTTTTCTAGTACCCATAGTACAAGCTTTGCTTAGTTTGGGACTAGAGAATGTTGTGTAAAAATGTGTCCTAAAATCTTTTATTTGTTTTATTTATGTACGGCCACGTGGTACAGCAACGCAACAGCATCTGCTGTTGCACGAATTGCATCTAAGTGCCAGGACCGACTTAAAGCATAGGTTATCACCGGGGCTGCTCCTAAAATTTGATGACATAATTGCAACCCCACGGGCGTTGCATATGCTCGCTTACCGTCCATTTCCAAAAGTAAATACCAATAATCTATCTGTAACGACAATTTCTGGTTATGTCGCCATCTGTCGCGGTTTAGCACGCTCGCTTTTTGCTCCACCTGCAAATAATCTATAAATAACTTGGGTTCGTTGAGTTTTCGGTTTTAATAGAGGTTTTCTCCTTGTTGGACATATCGCAATGACTCCATACTTATCTAAGTGTCAGTAAACCACTTTGGCTCGCGTGATTTGAAATTCAAATGCAGAACGAACACCCGCAGTCAGTTCAGTCAGCACTCGAACACATTTGTTTACGTCCAACGGTTAATTTTTAATTCGCTTTAGAAAAGAGAAAGGAACAATTAAGAAGAAACTTAAAAGCTACAGACATCGCGATATAAACCTACTTCCATTAGAATATTTACGAGTAGCATTACTGTGAGGCAGAAATAGCGTGTTTTTGGAACGCATTACAAATAAGTAGGTGCGTAATTAGGTAAATATACATTATATTTATATTGAGGCCAATGAAATATATTAATAATATGTTTCACTTAATGAAGCGGACAGTATATTAACTAGGTCGCTACCATGTAATCGATCGACTTCTAGAACGCTGAGCTACTCCCTTTCAATTAATAACTGGCAATACAACTTGAATTATTAGGGAGACAATGTACAGGGTGAAAGTTCATGGAAACATCGGTAGATTAGGGTAACGCGTATCGACCAGTTTTGATACACCGAGGGAGGCAGACGAACAAAGCGCCCCTGAGACTACTCATGGACTTACATAGACTTGTTATGTGAAATTGTAATATGTGAGTCGCTGTTTGCTGACGTGTCTGTAAAAAAATACAATCCTAAGTAGAGACGGTCATTCTATCGAATTACTATAATGTCCTTATAAACTAACCTGTATGGTTTTCGTAATTGATTGTATGAAATTGTCTCACATGCCTCTGCATTCATGCATTTAACAAATAAACAAATATTCTGTGTTGTGAACATACGACTGTGTCAATTAAGTATAATTATAATATTAAATAACTGCTAAGTGATTATTTACAACGAACTCGTGTCTATGTACGCACATCTTAAATATGTAAAAGCAAACAAAACAAAATCTAAAAAGTGTATGTGGGTACCATATTATATAAGAAAAAGTTTACTTTTCACGTTGATAGTACAATTGATCGCCTATCAAGATCATTAATACGATTCGCAAGGGATTGGGTATTTAGCAAGTAACTGTTAAGGACCTCAATTTCCAATTTTAGAGGGAAATAAAACTTCGGGTCTATCTGGGGAATCGATGGATTCAATCGTTGTTATCTTATCCTTGCACCGATTAAGCGATACGGTGCGAACGCTATTGTAAATGCAATTGGCATGCCGCGCCGATATAATTATTTTGTAAATTGTCTTTCTGACAAGTACATTTTTTAAAAAAAATATCTCACGTATGGGAGCAAGACTAGCAACCAATGCAAAAAGCATTTTTAAAATCGGTTCACAAATGAGAGTTCCGGGGTGAAAATAAAAAAAAGAGGACCTCGAAGTCGGTTAAGAAAAATAAACCCTATTTATGTTTGCTAAGAACGTTCGAGACGATTTAGAAAGGGCCATATTACAATGCCACAATGCCTCATGTAAACTTAGGTACAGATATTACATCTGCCTTATAATTCGGAGTTTACTGCCGTCTATCGATAGCCTGAGAGATTTGCGTCACAAGCCGCCCAGCGGGTCCTGTAAAATTAACCCGTGCAAGCAAACCGAGAGCGGACTGCATTCTCCAACTATCACCTGAATATGCTATGGCCACTTCTTCCAATCGTTCCGTACAAGGTCTTTGACGACATAACGGACACAAAGAATTAAGAATAATTTTTGAAACGTGGTAATAAAAATTACGAGTGAGAAACAAAAGATAGTTGCTTTTTTTTAAGTATTGTTAAGTTTATTTATTGGCCCTAAAATATTAATCTCTTTAACCATGAGAGTGTCACCGAGTTTGTTCTTGTAACTGTACAAATGTGCAGTAATTTAACACAGCCTCGTATTGGCCATCGCAGTGTAGAACAACCCTCCGCAAGATGGAGTGTTCCCTGTGCGGGATTCGATGGATGCAGGTGACTCAGGATCGCGCTTCGTGGCAGTCTGTGGGGGCTCAGCTTTAGCTGTCGACTCAAACGGGCTGAAATGTTAATGATGACACAATTTCATATATCATGATAGCTTGGCAGCGATATCGCTGTAGTGGTTGCATTACAATATGCGGATGGCGTTTGATTTAAATAAAACGGAAACTTGTCATTATACAATATAATTATACATAAAACTTATGTTGTCATGTACCTTGTCATTATACATAAAACTTATCATTAATCGTTCATAAATAAAGAAAATGTCGTATACATGTTTAGGAATGATATTGTACGTCCAAATTGTATGCAAACTTGATCATTGCGCAGCGGTCCGCTCTAATTCTACTGAGCACTTCAACCCGAGCGGAGTCAGGTGGCCAGTGCTTTGTGTCAGTCAAAAGCCAGTGTTTCGCACATGCATGAAATTTATATATGTATATAATATATGTTAAACCTCCTTGCAACGCCGGATAACGTGATCCTACAGTGAGGGGGCAACGCTATCGAAGACAAGACCACAACAGATTAGAAGATCTGTTGTGCGTGCGTTGCATAGTTTGGTACTAGAGAGCGTTGTGTAAAAATGTGTCCTAAAATATTTATTTAAAGTGATTTCTTCTGCCCCATTGCAGACGGTGATCAACATAGCGTACTGCCTACTCGCGGTGATCGGCTTCGGCGTGCAGCGTGTGGTGTTCGGGCGGCTGCGGGTGGCCGAGGCGCAGCGGGTGAAGGACAAGTTCTGGAACTACGTCTTCTACAAGTTCATCTTCGTGTTCGGCGTGGTGAACGTGCAGTACATGGACGAGGTGCTGCTCTGGTGCTCGTGGTTCACCCTCGTCGGCTGCCTGCACCTGCTGGGCCAGCTCTGCAAGGACCGCTTTGAATACGTGAGTGTGCTCTTTCTGACGCCGATTGGCGGATTTTACGCGTGACACACTTCAACAGTCCACCCGGCGGTTGGATGTCTCATCATATATTCCCAATAAGGGTGGATTTTAATATTTAACGACACGCCACTTTGCTTGAGCTTATGGTGAACCGCTACATTTTGTTCTATAAAAAGTATGCAACAACAATATTTTTATGTTCTGTTATAACGTTTGCTATCACGCACATTTGTGCTGATTTCTTTTTAAATCCAGTTCATAGACCAATGACCTAAAGAAGAGATTAATTAAAGATCATAAATTGGAAACATTAAATTATAAAAAGATTCCAAAACTATTCTTATCTGTTTTTCCTCAAATAGATAATTCAGCGCCCGCGCTCATTGAATCAACCTAAATAGATATTAGAGTACGTTATTTGTCAGTACACGATAAATAAGAACTGAAAAGTTGTAAGTAAGTCCGTGAATATCCGTAACAGGGCAAAGACCGATGCCTTGAGTACATTTCGTGCTCATTAGATTACACACATTCATTTTTTTCTACGTCACTTTGACAGATCCAATCGGCATATAAATAACGTCTCCGGAGACCGACGACCTTATACCGTCGCCGCACGCGTATCCATTGTATCCGTTGTATCCGTTATCGTCTCGTCACCGACATTGGACACACGACCTCTGTGCGGTTGGTGGCAGACATCGCCGCCCCGCCCACTCTGTTGTCTTAACGGTGGGCGACGCAGCTCAAAGTTCGAAGCACTTTGCAAAGCGGGAATATGGAACAATGAGATGTTGCCTCCGAGAGATATTATATTATTGGTTCTGATTTGAGGGGAGGTTTTCAACGAGGTCGATGCTTTTCGACTTTTTTTTCTTGTTTCGTTGATGTTTCAATCAATTAGACGGGTCATTAAACCCGAGGCTAATAACTTGGCCGGCCGTCACTTGCGCGTGTGTCTCTACGACAAACTATGTAAAATAAAAAAAATCAATACAATGGAAAAGAGATGCTAACCGAGTTTTTATAAACATAAATTTTCTAAAATCCTTAAAACAAAAATCAAATAATGTCCGAATAAGAAAAATTGCTTATAATTAAGTTATATTTAATAAAAAAGTATTAGTGGTGATCATGTGTAATTATAAGATTTGTGTTAGGATCATCTGTGGTCGGGCCACACAACAGTTTACTCTGTTGCAAGAATGGGCAGGTCCGTCCGGGTGGGTTCCACGTCCTCACAGAAGGCAGGCGTAAAGTAGAAGTATTACTCTTCTGCGTTTCGTCTGGTGAGTGAGGCAGCCGGGGCCAAGCTTATTAATAGGTGGCAACGCATCTGCAACCCTACGGGTGTTGCAAAAGTCAATGGGTGGCGGTTATCACTTAACGTCAGCTTGCCACCTTCTCACATAAAAAAGAAATAAATATCCATTGGTCAGGTCACTTTCCTCGACGACAAACAAGTGGATAACTAACGATCAAGCATTAACGGTAACCAATAAAACATGTCCTCCAACTAGTTCGTAGTTCGATAAATGCTAATTCCATTCTATTGTTTCACGAATATGTTAACCGATAGAATTGTTCTCAAGCTAACGAGCGAGTGTACAATGATACGGTTCAACGGCTCTCGCACCTTCTACACAAATAAACGTATCACTGACATTTTGTATAACTAACTGTACGTAGCATAATCGCCCTCGTGAAATTACACGACCGTTCAACTCATGTAGAGATAGACACAAACTTTATTTTGAGACATCATGAAATAAATGAAATGTAAATAACAAATTGAATAATAAAATCAAAACACATCGTCAAAAAGGAAACAAGTCATTACATAAAGTTACAAAAAATAAAGTTATTGATAAAAACACGGTGAAATAGAAAATTTAGGTAAATGGTATTAAACTATTTGTGGAGATAAAAAAATGTAAAATGTAATTGACGACCCGAATGGCGTAGTGGGTAGTGTATTTGCCTCCTGCGCCAGAGGTAGTGGGTTCGATCCCCACGACAGGAAAACTATTGTGTGATTAACATAGTGTTTTTCTATCTATAATATGTATTAATTTAGTACAATAGTTGCTTAGTTTGGGACTAGAGAACGTTGTATAAAAAAATGTGTCGTGAATATTTAATTGTAATAAGAAATCAGGTGGCATTGTCCAATATTAAGGACGGTATTTTCCCGAGTATTTACCGATGGCAAAGGAACGTTTTCGAGTGGCAGCCTCGAATCCAATCCTCCATCGTATTGTTAGGACCCCTACTAGATGCAAGAAAGTGTTCTGGATGTCGATGGGTGAATGTGGCTCAGGATCGTGCTATGTGGTATTCTGTGGGGGCCTATGTTCAGAAGTGGACTCTAACAGGCTGCAATGATGATGGTATTCCCGACGGTCACATCACGTACCGCTACTTCTGGACCCTAACACAGTGTATAAACACAATTTTTTTTAAAACTTTATGTGTGCATATGGATTTGAAATCGGCCTACTCGAGCACTGATGTTTCGCACCCTAGTATATTATACACGTGAATACTTTGTGATAGACTATGCGACCATATTAATAAGAATAAATAAGCTTAGTAATAAGTGGAAAAAAAAGTCGTTGGTCTTAACGGTTATAAATAGCGTAGAATTGTCCGGTCTCCCTTGAGATGTAAATTTATTAAGTTGCTTATACCGTGTTTTTATGGCCTGTTCACGACGACAACCTTACCTCCTGTAACTTTTCTTCGTATGTTATATATCTCACTGTTTCTTCGTATTTGCACATCGTATATATTTCGTATATCGTTATAAGTCGTCGTATTAATAATAAGTTTGACGATGATGTTTAGAAAGTTTTGGCCGGACTTATCTGGCATTAGCACTTTATTTTTAATAACATACATTATCAGCTAGGATACGCTTTCTGATTCGATGTTATACAGCGTGTCGTTACCATCGCGACAATAAATGAACACACGTCTAACGCTACTTGCCAATAATCATAAAAAAATATTAACGTTAAACAAAATCCATAATTAAAAAAAAATATTTTTCAAACAAACTAATTAAGTAAAAAAGAAACAAAATTTGTAACACCTATACAACTCGCGCCACAGCGTCGTATTACAAGCCTCTCCTTCTAACAGTATGTTTTGTCTCTTTTAAATTCATTCAACCCATTCATATGCTTTGTGACCTTTATAAATGAACTTTACGTTACAGTTTTATACGTAAGGGTGTTCTAAAATTGTTTGTTTTGGAAAATGTAATAACTCGGTAAATATTGATGTTTATAGAATGTAAATGTTTAACACAATTTAAAAAAGTTATCCTCTATATGTGTGTTCATTAATTGTCGCGGTGGTAACGACACGCTGTATATATATTTTTATACATTTATACACTGAGGTTTGAAGTATTAACAGACATGTGACATTATTCTACAAATAATATTACCTTTATATTCAATACAATACCTTGGTTTGTGTTTCAATGCACGCAATTAATTGCATATATTACAATAATATTTCCTTTAATAACGCTCAGAGAACGCTTTTGCCTTGAGTAGTTTTTGTAGCCAACAAATCAACATTTCTAGAAATATCTTAAATTATGTATATTATATTATAGAATCCGTCAGCTGTTAGTATGGCCATGACATCTTGTGATGATTTAATGCATACAATATATTTGTTATAAAGATAACGCCTTCGCATTATTACTGATATTATACAAAATGCAAAAGAAATGTACCCACCAATATTAATACAAAGAGGGTTTTTTCCAGTGATTACAGTGACCATAATTTTAAAGAAACTAACGCCCGTTTTCTGAAACACTGATCATCGTAGAAATTAACTAATCAGTTGTCAAAATGGCTTTTCGAATGTCATTTCAATTGCTAAAAGGATAGTTAAACTTTCTGAATTGATCGAAATGATCAATTCAAAGACTTTAACCATTCTTTTGGCAAATTTAATAACATTCGAAAAGCCATTTGGTAGCTGATTAGTTATCTTCTACGATGAATAGTGTATCAGAAACCGGGCGTAAGTATCTTGCCCTGTCGTCGGTACTGATAATCAAAATAAGACTTTATCTTCGATACTGTTAACTGTCTGCCTGAAATTTCTTTCCGCGATTAACCATTTAAGAATAGCCTTAGTTATAAATATCGCGTCGAGCCATCACGAATGAAGGTAACTTTGTACTAAAATGATATGAAAACCGCGCGTCACTGTAAAATTAACTTAAGCAACGTATCTTGATGACAGTCGATATTTGTTAATAACGTACGTGATTTTAACTTCAATAAATAAGTCATCCACAATCGAGCAGTGGTGAATGAATATACTCTATTCATAGTCGGGGTTTTTTCCTCCATTCCTGGATTGACGCAATATGGCATCTCTGTATATGTCCTTGATTGTACCTACTTGTACCTGCGTTTGTACATAGTTTAAATGATTGTTGCACGTAATTTTATATGATTGGACCTAACTGCTGTCCGTGATTCTACCCAATTAAGGGCATGACTGTTCTGCTCGCGTAGCGACCGTGCCCCGCTGCACGTACGCAAGTGCATTATGCAGATAGTTTATTACAAAAAATAAGAATATAAAATATGCTCGAATAAAATCTATAATTAATGTAATGTCTGTACTCTTTATTATGTTATAAAAACAGTACAATAGCGAGCTAATAGGGTTGTTGATCGCGATTGTACTGGCGCGATGCGGTGGCCGGCGTTAAGGCCCATTTACACGGTGCAAGTTTCTTGCCTGTTATATACTATTAAATTGAAGCAATAAATAAGTTGCATTGTCTAAACAGCACATAACATTCTTGACTGTTGAACAATACTTGCTTCAAGTTTTGTTTCAAAACTTTCCTTGGTGTAAACAGCACACACAATAATTTCTTAAGCAATTCTTGTATTCAATTGAATTCTCTTTTCCTTTGTGAAAAATTAAAAAAAAATAGTGCAATGAGTGAGGGTATT